AAGTAGTAAAGCATATACACTGAGTTAAAAAAAAATCTTTCCAATACTGGAAAAAGCAATAGTAAGGAGCACAAATGGTCTGAAACTGCAAGAAAGGAACATTGCTTAATTCCATCAGTCAGTTAACAGTAAAAATAAGATGCCTGAACAGAAGGTAACTCAATTCATCATTCAGTCCTTTATTCACTATGTTACATCCGATTCTATTTACACCTTGATCCTCCCACCTATGACTCAAAAGAAAAGGCCATCTGATTTCACTGCCAGACAATTAAAAATAACCCTTTGTTTTAGTTGTAATGCTATACCATGCTCTAATCTCAATTAATGTTAGTAATATGATGATATCTCACATACAGGTCAATAGAACATAATGGGCAAGGTCAGCATATCAGATGTGTAGGGAGTAGTCACTGTTTTTAAAATAAATGACCGAATTCAGTAAAAAGGAAAAAAAAAAATTCTTTTCTTCCAAGGGTCACTGCCACTGTTTTCTGGTTTAGGGGTGTAACAATCTAAATAAATACTTCTAAATCAGAAGAATAAAAACAATGATGTGTGAGTATGTATGTATAAATTAGTTACTCAAGCAGGCTCTCAATCCAAACAGGAAATTTCCTATCCAGGAGGTCCAACTAGTCAGTCCTGATTGTCAGGGGCAAATATTTAATCAACATAATAATCTTCCAAACTACTTTGAGGCACTTATACCTGAGCTCCCCACCCCCAAGTCTTCTATAGTGTGGCAAGTTGACTATATATCCATATGGTATTTACAAATAAGTATCAGTTAAAACTTGATCCAATTTCAATTCCATAAATTGCTGATTCTAAGCCAATTCAAACAGAGCAAGATAAACACTTTCTGAAAGATGACAATGCAGCTACTTCAAGGTGGAATCTGTATTGGTATATAAAGCAACTTACTTTATTTCCCAACACCCTACTAGTGGCTCTTTTGATTATCCGTGCCAGTAGCCATTAACATAGACTCTCAAGTTAGAAAGTAAACTATAATTAACTACAGTTTCCTTGTGTGTTTTGCCACTCATATGAGTATGAAGTTGCTAGCATAGGTGCCCAAAACCTAAGATCCTAACTATTAATCCTATTCAGTGTCCTGTCTCTACGTACAGCTCATTCAAACAAAAACTGCTCCATTGCTTTGGAAAGAAACAATGTTTTTCTAGCAGTGTTATAATATGAGATTGATATTAGAACCTGTGTAATGATGGAGAAGATACAAAAGAAAATATTTATTGTTTTTGTGCTGTTCCCATTTTTTTACATCCCGCAAAACTGGAAAACTCTTCAGTGTCAAAGAATTGAATTTTTTTTTGCAACACTACGTTTTTTTCCTATGAGGAAACAAATACAATATTGTACAGAGACCATCAGCAATTCAGTTTGTATCATTCAGGGTGCGTACAGTTAAAAGCATGCAATAAGAAAATAATTTCATATATTGCAAGCCATAATAATAAAGGCAGCAGCAACTAAATATTAACTAACAAGAACTTTTCAGACCTATCAAGAACTCTCAAGTATACTTTTTCTCCTTTTTTGCTGCTGAAGCAATAAAAAGGGGAAAACCAACATCCAAATGATCTTGTTTATGGTGGTTAAATAAGCTGCATGTGCTTAATCCGTTAGAGTTTAATGAATTTATGACTTGCTTTGGAATTTGACAAGGGCCATAAAAGAGTAATTAACATTTATCAGCGTGTTTGCTCCGCCTGCACACACCCTCCTCCTCTTGGCCCCTCTCATGGCAGTGTCGGGCACCATAGAGAGATATAAAAGAGATCAATTAATTTTTAATAATCTCAGGGAAAGATTGTAGAATTGCAGTATGAACTCTGGGAGTGTCAATAAACATGCCGAAGGTCATCTACTTTCTTCCTTTATATGCTTGTCAGTAAGTGGGGCAGGTAGAGAAGAATGGGATACACATATCAAAAGCTGCTAGGGGAATAGGTGATGGAGCAATCCAAACTACTACTCATCCAATCACTTCACCTGATTGGCTAGTATGTAGTCAATTATTCCAAACTGAACAGGAAGGAAGTGTACTCAATCTCTACTATATTTGTATATTACTAGATTTCAAAGTTGCCTATACAATTGCCCAAAATATTACATGCATTAAAGGTCTTTCCTGATTAGCCTAATTACAATACAAAAATGATGCTCCCTCCTTCTGTTATGTCCCTATGGCACCCTTTTCATCTTGTTTCCAGCCATATGTAAAGACATATCCACACATCTTTCTCTAGCATCAGAATGTAACATCACTCCCCTGAGCATGTTTCGGCCAAAGGCCACATTTAAGCACTTAGCTACTCAAATGATGTTTTCCATTATATTACTGCTTGAGTCTCTCCATGCAATCATTGTAGGGTGCATTGATGAGAAGAGGGGAGGCAATCTGCTATAACCAAGGGCCTAGGGGCTCTGTCACTAAGGTCCTGAATCTCCCCCTCTCTCCAGTCTCTGACCATTGCACCCACCATCCATTCTTGTTTTATCTGACAATGGACTCATTCTCCCTTTTAAGTTATTTTTGCAGTGGTTAGGAAAGGTGATGGTTTGCCTTCTTGGCCTATGTCATCAACAGCACATCTAAAAGTGTAGCATGCCAAGTGGTGATGGCCTTGTATCAAGTAGCTAACATTATTAGCCAGACTCCAAATCAAACTGCCAATCACATCTCTTATTGTTCATATATGAGTCAGCAGTAAAGAGAACACTAGCTTTGAGTGCCCCGTGGATGCATGTTGGTTTCTTGCCAGTTCCATCAGGGGGAGACAGTATGCCAATTCTGTGGGTTCAGCCCAAGACAGCCTTAAGTCATCCACGCACCAGTATTATGGTACTGCTTTGTCTTATTTCAACCACATCCAAGGGCAGCCTCAAGGTGTACAAAACCTATTAGGGTATGTTAGCCTAGGAAGAAAGTAAAAAAACTGAAGTAACTGGAAGCAGAGGCAATACAGGCAGGATTTGGACTGGAAGATGTGACAGAAAATTTTATGACATCCAAAACAAATGGATAGTATTTTAAACTGAGTATCAGTGAAAGACATAAGGCTTTTACTCACAATTTTAGATAGCATTTTTAACTAACAAGACAATGCTGAGAAAATTCCAGATGGCCAAGAAGAAAAGTATGCATTTCAAAGGATCATAATAGGATTTAACTATGTTTTGGTAATATACAACATCCTTCTCCCAATCAGCAGACTGCTTTGAAATAGACTAGGATAGCTGTTCCTGTCATTCTTTTTAAAAAATTCATCCAGTTGCCACAAAAGAGGCTGGGAGATTTTTACTCCATCCCCAGGCCCTGCTCTTAAAAAAAAACAACAAAAAAAACTTACATCTGTAATTTTTAAAATCTGCACGGTTTTGTTTTTTTTAAATCTCCCCATGGACTTAAAAACAATTCCCTAGTGTGTGACCAGAATCGGTACTGCCACTGACAGACTCATGGGTTTAACCACAGTTCTTTCTGCCCTTTTTTCTCCATCACCTCTCTGTGATCTCAAGGCGGTGAAAACTGAGACACAGGTGGGAGTTCCTGGACAGATCCCCTTTTCACAGGAAGAAGAATCAACTGCACAGACACTAGGCTCGTAATACAGGGGAATTAATTAACTAAATTAACAATTGAGTTGAGCCTCAAATACGGTTTGTCTATTTGAGGAAAAACCTAGCAGTCTTTCAGTTATTTAAGTAAGGTATCACCATGGGTTAGATAGCTTGTATGAACAACCACCTCCACAGAGATGCTACATACACACAAAATTTTAATGTTAATGTTCACTTTTAATGACATTTTATTTATCAATTATGTTGTATAGCCCCTCTTTGAGGAAGAGGGATGGTTTAGAAATATGAAATATAAATAAATCCCTGATATAATCATATTATATGAATAGGGCCAATATATATTATTCAAATTACAGTCCATGATTCATTTAGAATATCTGAACAATGTAAAGACAACAATAACAACAAAGGTTAATTTGCAGTAGAAGCAAGGAAATATACAACAGAAAAAAAGAGAGGCTTTTCTATGCTATGCTAGCAATCCCTATATAAAGTATCCTTTTTTCACTAAATTTTAGAAATAATTTTTCAACAAGCCAGGTATCGCTGTAAAATTCTAATTCTATACCGCACAATGCTCACTGAGGTGTTCATAATTTAGATGTCATGGTTCCTGAGTAATGGGCCCAATCAGTCCAGCACTCTGGGGCTGTGGTTTTTCTCAAAGATCCATTTTATTGGGTACATCATATCAGCACGTGGCTTAATGTCAAGGCTCCGACTACTCCAAGCAAGCCGGCCACTTTGGATTCCTCAAGACATGGCATCTGGTGTGAAGACAATTTTGGTGGCCAGCAATGAAAAAGGACAACAAGAAGATATCAAATGTGCCGATATGATGAACCCAATAAAATGGATCTTTGAGAAAAACCACAGCCTCAGAATTTGATTGATTGGGCCCTTTACTCAGAACCATGACATTAGAGATATGAGCTACAACCTTTGCAGAGCAGGTACATAATCTTACTGGCATTCATTAATGATTACTGTGAGATCCAGAATGAAACGTTTGTCTGACCCAACCCGAAAGTGACTGTTTCATTTTCATTTCCATTTCTCATCTAGTATTCTAAGGACAATTTTTATGTGATTTTCATCCATAACTTTTAGCAATTACCCACTTCTGCTTATAAAGAATTTCTCCCCCTAAAACTAAGGATATACAGTATTAACTGCCTTTGATAAAACAATGACAGATTTGTTCTCAGCAATTTTCAATCAAATGCTATAGTACAGGTTAGTACTGATACTTTTAAGATATTGTATCTTTTTATGCCTTAACTATATTTTTTATTATTGCCCTAATATCATCTACGCAAATTGATGATGCTTCCACTGTTTTTTCAAAATATCCCACAATAGTATTAAAAAAATAAATAAACACTTACAGAGGGGGAAAGTTAATGCCATGCGCTGGCTGGCCCCCACGGATACTGGTGGTCCTCCTTGGCTGTCGCTTCTATCTGGCAATCAATTGACAAGAAATTGAGATTATGAGATATGACAATCACCATCAGAAGAAGACAATCAATCAGCTGACTCCTATAGCTGAGCAAATGACATTTAACGGCAGAGATTTTCCAAATTTAGTTACTATCATGGGATTAGATATCCAAAGCTGTACCTTTAGTCTATAAAGAACATACAAATAGAACTGCTGTAAATAGACTGTTTTTTATAGATCCTGATACCTAATATTTTCTCACAAGGAACCATATACAATATAATGATATTAGGAAAGAAGGATGTAGAAATAATGTACAAGTGTTATATGTTGAACTGTAGAATAATGCTACACAGTATTTCAGAAATATGCGGAAGCATAAATACAGCACCTGTATACAACTCTTTAAAGCTGCTGGTTCCACAATCCCACAGAAGACTTAATTGTTTTAAGGAGCTGTAAACAGATGTTACTTTCACACTTTTGCACATGTCAATGTAATTTTTCTATGTTATTCCCAAAGCATTGTAATGTTTTACTGTAGAATCTACTGAAAGAAAGCTAAATACTGTTAAACCATCTCACTGAATGGGCATCACATTCTCATATGTAGGCAGCTTGAGACTATATTTATTTATTTATTTGCTTTATATACTTTCTTTTGTCAGGAGGCCAAACAAGATTATCTACATCCTCCTCCCATTTTCTTCCACAAGATAGGATGGGTCAGTCTGCAAATGAATAGAATACTTTATTGGCCAAGTGTGATTGGACACACAAGGAATTTGGTGCATATGCTCTCAGTGTATATAAAAGAAAGATACATGACTGGCTCAAAAAGCATTCAGTTAACTTCCAGGGCTGAAGGTAGATCTGAACCTGGGTCTCCATGTCCAAGTCCAATGAGTTAACCCAGTGGTTCTCAACCTGTGGTCCACAGATCCCTTGGGGGGAGGGACTTGTGATGTCATAACAGGGGGCCCATGACGGCTTGAAGAAATTTTATGATTTAAATCTTGGGTTAAGTCTTGGTGGTCTGTGGGCATAAAAGGGGTCCATGGTGAAGAAAACATTGAGAACTACTGTTTTAACCACTCTATCAGCCTGGCTCTATTCTTTTCCAGAGCAACAGCTATTAATCACCATGTTACAAAATCAGACAAGTTTACAGTTTTATAAATAAATTTGAATCCAGTTCATATTTTGTTTCTCATAAATTTTTAATTACTGAAATATCTATTGCAAAGTGCCTTAGTGAATGTTGTTTGTTCACACACGACTCATGCTTGCAATTCGGTATAAAACTTGACCTGATGAGAATCCTAGCTTGATCATTGCAAAGAACATTTTGGAAACAGTCTACAAAATCAAATACAACCTTGCGAAATTCTAGCAGATCAGGACAATTAGTCTTTTTTGCCCATTTCCATGCTTTTATCATCCCCTCTCTAATCTTCCTGTCTTTCAGCTTCTGACATGTCATTCAACAGAATTCTCCTGATCAATCAAATTATTACATTTATGTTTTAATTAAAAATTTTTACATCCTTCAAGGTTACATTAAATATCTATGTTTTGTATGATTCATACTAGCATTCCCCATTGTTTCTTCAATTGCAAAATGGTGCTGTTTCCTTAAACAATATAAGGGAGAAAAGAGAGAATAATTTGGTGTGTGATATACTTGCTATATGACCTTAACTTTAAAAAGTAATGTAAATCTGAATATTTTACTTAAACCACTTCATCCTATCCTAAATAAATATAAACAAAAAGTTCTGACTAATATACAGCTAATCTCTTAAAAAGTTTATCCAGTGTAGAAACTGGGCCCTGGAAGTAAAATCTTTAATTATTTAAAATTACATTAATTATCAATAATAATAGTTAGAAATAAATCAGAATGGAACATTTTAAATATTCTCCAGCGCTCTATAATTGTAAAAACAAATCTCAATACATTTGCAGCAATTTTCAAAGTAAATTATTCCAACACTGAACTTCTATAGGACTATTAAGTTTGTTTTGTTTAAACATGAATATGAGTGTCATGGTTTTTTAACATTGTTTTATGAGATTTGGGGGCTTGACTCTGGGCTTGACTCTGGGCTGCCATTTTTATGTGAATTTTGTTGTTGTTTTGGCTTGAGAAGAATTTGTTTTCTTAACCCAATTGGTTTCTTTTATTTTGGACTGGGGTTGATTTATCTTTTTGGCATTTATTACTATAAACCACCTAGAGTCTTAGGAGGTGGGTGGTATATAAATATCCATAATTCATTAATTCATTAGTTAACATACAAAAAATCTTAGCTGGCCTAATTTACCAGCTTTGCCCTTAGAAACAATGCATTTGTTGTAAGTGCTATTAGGATACTTAATTGGGCAAATGAATGGTTTATAGTCGTTCAGACTAAACCAAGCAAAACAAATCAAACCTGAAAGAAATATGATTCAGGTGCTCAACAAAGCCTGTCTATACAAGATAGTTTGTTAGGTTTATACAACTGAAAGAAACCAAGGCTATGTTAATGAGGTTATGTTGGTTGTCCTGCTATAGATGGGTCTAGTACAATATAGAAAATATGCAGATGCAGCTGACATGCCAACATTCCACAATGCGCCCATCAATGGCTAATATTCTTGCTGGGTCAAAGAATTGCTCTCCATTGCTGTTAAGAGCAACTTAGGAAGCATTTCCAGACACTACACTGTACATGTGCACAGCCTGTTGCATAACAAGCCAAGGTCCCATTTCCTGTTCCCCCAGAACCGTTAAAACCTCACAAACCACTAGAGGAAGAACTGTTTCCTGCAGGTGTCCCAGGAACATGAATCACACCTTGTCAAAATGCTGGGTATGAACCAATTGAACAAGGTCCTTCAAAAAGTAGATACATCTTGCAGTCTTTGTCCATGCATAACTTTCTAACTTGCTGATCTACATCCTGATCAGGAAAGGGTTAAATGAGTATTAATCAGACACTTTCAAGAAGCTTTGAAAACTCATCCAAATATTATAAAAAATGCCTTTAATCATCTAATAGCCCAAACGGGGAAGTGATGGATGGGCTGATCTTTGCCTGAACAGATGAGCCTGGGGATGTGGGCTTACAGGAGATGGGAAAAGAGACGGTGACACTTTTCCTTCCTCCCTCCCTCCCTGCTTGGAGCAGTTAGAAATATGAGGTCACCCAGCAAGAGATGATAACACATTAAGGGCTCTTGAGAGATTGGCCTGTCAGCCTTGTTAGGAAGAGGCAATTGGGGCTGACTGTATAATTAAAGGCTGGAGAAAACCATAACTCACAGCAGTTTAGACAGCAATGAAGGGACTCTATCCGCTACGGTCTTTTCTATTTGGAAAAAATACCTCAGTAGAAGTGCGTTTAGTTCAGTGTAGTTTGGGCTTCAATGAGGTGCGCTCAATGAATTGCAAATCTGAAATTTCAATTGCAGTCCTTCTGCATCAAGTTTTGCAAATATGAATTTGTCACACAAAGCTACTACATTACTGTGTGAAGAAAAACAAGCCCAAGTCAGGATTGAGGATTTTTCAAATAGCATCACTTATAATAGGAAAATGTCCTCAGTCTCAAGACTAGAAGTAATCTAAAATCAGATTATTTTGCTATATGCCTAAACCTTGTCCTAACATATGAATCCAACTGATATGTCTGAATTACTTCCAAAGGCAGCTGTTTGATTCAGACCACGTAGCCCTGAAAAATATGTTTATAAGCTGTGTCTACTTAATTCTAAATTAAAAGCATCCTTCAACAGATCAGATCAGTTCTGCTGGCAATCAAATTGTAGAATTCCTGTTCGTCCATCGAGAAGGGTGACACTTTCTCACTGTATAGGCATATAGTATAGAAGGTAGCAAGTTTGGTATGCTGTTGCTATATTACTATAAATTAATATATGAATAGTTTCTTAATGGAAGGAAAGAAAAGAAGATGACAGACAGCAGGAAGGGGGATAGACTTGGTTACAGTGGCAATTAATACACCATTAGAAACCTGAAGGATCAAGTTAAGAGACAGATCATCATGGAGAAAGGCAACAATGATGTGACAGAACATAATCGATCAGTTCACTTAAAAGAACACTGAACTTCCTTGGGATATTAAGGATTTATTAAACTAAATCTCTCAATATAATACTCTGAACAGTAAACGGTCTACTTATCTCACTTGGTTCTTACTGATGGCATTCCAATGATGGCAATATTTCATGTAATCTCTGGAGTACAGTTGGAGACAAGATATTAGACACTACTTCATACCCCTCCCAGTATTTTTGCAGTGGAATCTATGTTTCAGTGAATTTGATTCTGTAATTTCCTTTGGCATTGTATTGTTTCATAAACCATGATTATGATGAATCATCAAGTTAGTGTTGACTATTAGTGACCACAGATATAGACTTGGTGCAGAATGATCTATCCTCAACTCAGTCCTTTGGATGGTTCAGCAGTGTACCTATTGCCATTGCCGCTTCTTTTTTCAGCATTCCAAACTTCTCAGGAGAGCTAGGTCTTTGCCTAATGCAGCCAAATATGGTACTTTAAGCCTGATCACTTGTGCTTTAAGCGAGAACTCTGTGTTGGTTTATTTAATGATCAGTTAGTTTGATTTCCAGGCTAACTACAATTTTTTCAGAAGTTGTCTCCAACATTGAAGCTCAAAAGCAGTAATATTCTTGTTTCTTGTTTCTCTAAAGCAAGGGTCTTCAAAATTGGCAAGTTTAAGACTTCAACTCTCAAAATTCCTGAGCTAACCTGACTGGAAGAGGAATTCTGGGAGTTGAAGTCCACAAGTCTTAAAGCTGTCAAGTTTGAAGACCTCTGCTCTATTTTTTCCTTCCATACAGTATCACACCATTGTTTGTATGATTCTGATTTTTGTAGGTAGAGACATCATAGAATCTGAATATTTTTTTCCAAGGCATTCATTGCTACTTTACAAAAGTATTAGTCTACTAAGTACTTGTTGACAGCTATTTATTGTTGATAGT